GATCACTTGGGTTGTTACCAACATCTGGTGAAAATTTCATGTCATTAGCACCTCTAGTAATATATTTACTGAGAAAAATGGTGACGTGTTCAATACGTATTTTACCGGCTGTAGGCTACTGACGGGCCAGACTTTGGTCACTCGTGGGCCGGATGTGGCCCATGGGCCACCAGTTATTGTCAGTTAAATAAAATCTTTTGAATGTGAATTATTTGATAAAAACTGTCCGTGACAGAAACCAAACATTGTGCCAGAGAAGCTGGAAGTTGTGAGTCTGCAGATCAGTGTGTGAAGTGTTGTTTTGTCCCGCAGGACTTCGGGAAGTGTCCTCGGCTGCGTCTCTTCACTCAGGAGTACGTCCTGGCTCTGAACGAGCTCAACGCAGGGATGGAGGTCGTCAAGAAGTTTGTCCACAGGTCAGTTTGGATCGGCTGCAGGGCGCGTGGTCCGTCCCGCACCGGTTCTGACCCGTTTGTCCTGTGTTGCAGCATGCACGGTCTGACGGGGCAGTGCCCCCACCCCCGAGTCCTGCCAAACCTGGTGGCCGTGTGTCTGGCTGCCATTTACTCGTGCTACGAAGAGTTCATCAACAGGTCAGCTGCTGCCTCACACACACTCTGACTTCCTGCAGAGTTTTACTGAACATCTGGAACATGTGTGCAAAGCTCAGCAGCTTCAACACAAACATGGATCTTACAGAACTTCAGCAGGTTTTACACAAACCACTTCACATTTCTATTACAATAATCATCATTTGGACTATTTGTGACCCGTCACATCAAAACCAGGATTAAGTCTAAAAGTTGTATCAGGAGAAAAAGGCAAATATAGTGTTTTGACTAAAATGTTAACAGAAATTGCATTTTGTCAAAATATAATGAATAAAAGTCTTATTAATGTATCATTTAAATGAACTGTCTGAAATATAATCATAAAACTAAATGGTGAAGCACTTTTTTGAGCAGTAGCAACAAAAAAACTGATTTTGAGGAAAAACACATTAAAATGTTGAGATTTTCCCTGTGAGTTAGTAAAGTTTTGTTTCTTTTTATCTGGTAAATCTCAATATTCAAATATAATTTGAGGTTTCCTCTTTATAAGTGTAGAGGTTGTGGTTGTTCCTTCTCTGTTAAATTGATTGCAGATTGGCATGTGGGCGGAGACTGGGATGGACTCACC